GGAGACAGGTGGTAAAGAGTTGAGGGATGAAGGACCTGCCAGGTGGTGAGTTGCATGGCCAGGCTTGTGAGGTGAGATCTTCTCTAGGTGCAGGATCAGGAAGGGGGACTGGTGTGGTTGGATCAGAGTGAGAGAGCCATACGTCGGAGGTGAGGGAGAGGAGGCCAGTGGGGCCGGCTGTGCTGGTCAGGGCAACGAGCTGGATTGTGATGGATACCAAGGAGCAGGAGTGGTTGTAGTTTGATTTCTATTTTAGAACAGGGATCCCCCCACACACACCAGTTCACCCCTGCAGAGGCCGTGGGCAAAATTCAGGAGGTCCATGAGTTTGGCAAAACCAAAAAAAGATAGCTGGCTTTTCACTGTCCTCTAATGGAAGATGAAAGGAGCCCGTGGTGGTGTGGTGGTTACACGTTGAGCTGCTGACTGCAAGGTCAGCGGTTCTAGCCCACCGGCTGCTCTGCGGGAGAGAGAGGAGGCTCTCTGCTCCCATAGATTCAGAGTCTGGGAGGCCCGAAGGGGCAGCTCTGCTCTGCCCTCTGGGGTCCCTGTGAGTTGATGGCAGGGGGTGGACAGAAAACTAAGGAGTCCCAAAGGTGCCGTGGTCCAGTGCTTGGCTGCTAACCGAAAGGTCGGAAGTTCAAGCCCATCAGCGGCTTCTCAGGAGAAAGATTGGCAGTCAGCTTCTGTAACACTCCGGAAATGTGGTGGGGCTCTCAGCGGCCAGGTCAGCGGTGAGCCGCACTGAACTGTTAACCCCCCGGCCAGCCATCTGAGCCCCTCGCTACTCTGGGCGAAGTAGTGACGAATGAAAAGATTTCCAGGTCTTGTTTTTCTGGACTTCCACTACTTTGGTTATTGTCACGAGGGAGAAGGAGCCTGGTGGTGCTGTGTGTTAGGCACTGGGAGGTCAATGGCAAGGCCGGCAGTTCAAACCCTTCTGAGGGAATAAGAGGAGGCTGTTTGCTCAGGGAAAGGGGAGTGTCTTGGAAGGCCCGTCGAGGGTCCCTGTGAGTTTGAATCAACACAATGGCGATGGCTGTGGGTTGGGTTTTGATCTTCTCTTTGCCAGCCTCGTACCGTTAAAGAAATACAATGCTACGGAAGCCAAGGAAATACGGAAGAGGGTACGCCCAGGGACTGTTCACAAACCGAGTGCACCCACCTAACAGGCACCCAGATTGGGAAGCTGCAAGGGCCCGTCCCCACGTGCCCGGTGCCTCCAGGCTTTCCCCAGCAGGGGAAACGGCCGCCCCGTGTCCTAGCGTGCAGATGGAACATGTGGGAGCAAGCGGGATCCCTTCCACTGACGGCTGTGCAAAGCTTTGTGCTTGTGTGTAATTGTAGGTTGCAGGCTGTTCGTCGGCCCTGCTGAGCAACAGTCCACTGACTCAACGTGGACTTGCCCATTTTACCCATCAGGGACCACTGGGTGACAAGAGCCCTGGTGGCGTAGTGGTTACGAGCCGGGCTGCTAACCTCGAGGTCAGCAGTTCAAAACCACCAGCCGCTCCTCGGGAGGACGAGGGGGCTTTTTACTCTCCTAAAGAGGTGCAGTCTCAGAATCTCCCAGGGGCAGTTCTGCCCTGTCGCACAGGGTCGCAGTGACTCAGAACTGATTCCGTGACGGGGAGTTCAGTTTGGGGGGTTGGGATCTTTGGGCTGCCCCTAGGTGCTTGTGGTGGCGAATGGGTCTCCACCTGGGACACACTAGCACGTCTTTGGGTGAACACCTGTCCGCAGTTAAGGTGGGTTGGGCCCAGGAGAGCTTTCTAAAAGCCGTTCTCCCGTCTATACCCCCACGCGTGGCTGGAGTGTCCTGAGGTCGCCCGAGATATTCCGTGGCGTTGCTGCCGCTGAGCACACGCAGAGCAAACACGTGCGCCGATCCGGCGGTTTCTACGTTTCGAGTCACACGGCCCTTCTTCCGATGGCCCAACCAGCCTCACTCCCCTGAGTTGTCCCTCCCTCTGCCCACGGAGATCCCGACCTCATCTTTCAAGTTGCTGCTGCCAGTCTGATCATATATCTGATCGCATCCCTGCTGTGAGTCAATTCCGACTCACCGGGACCCTATAGGGCAGGGTAGAACGGCCCCAGGTGGGCTTCCAACACTGGAACTCTGGGCAGAAGCAGGCAGCCTCAACTTTCTCCCTAGGATCGGCTGGTGGGTTTGAACCGCCTACCTTACAGTTAGCAGCCCGCTGCTTGTCCCACTTCCCCAGCAGGGCCCCTCTGATCCCATAGAGAAAGCTCTTAAAATTGCTTAAAGCAGAGTCAACAATGAGACTAGAGATACCAGGAGGATAAAGGGATGGTGGGGAGAAGGGGGGGAATCGATCACAAGGATCAATATGTCACCCCTCCCAGGGGGACAAACAACGGAAAAGTGGGTGAAGGGTGACAGAGGACGATGTAAGACAGGGGACCTCAAGCTTTTTAAACGGGGCCAGTTCACTGTCCCTCAGACCATTGGAGGGCCGGACTATAGTTTAAAAAAAAACTATGAACAAATTCCTATGCCCACTGGACGAGTCGGCTGCTAAGCAGGACAGGCAGCGGCCAGATGAATGTCCTCTGCGGGCCACACGTGGCCCGTGGGCCGTAGTTTGAGGACCCCTGGTGTAAGATATGAAAATAATAATCTATAACAGCGCGAGGGAGGGCGGGTGGGGGAGGGAGGAGGAAAATTGAGCTGATTCCAAGAGTTCCAGTAGAAAGAAGATGCTTTGAAAATGATGGCAGCATGTGTACACATGTACATGATTGTGTGGATTGTGATAGGAGATGTAAGAGCCCCCAATGAAAGTGTTTAATTTAAAAAATAGGTCTTTAGGATTTTTGAGTTTATGTAATATAAATACATTATTAACATTAGTTTATGGCAGTTGCCATTGAACACGAGAGTCAAATTAAATAAACAAGTAAAGAAAGAACCCAGGCTGCTTGTAAATAAAGTCCAAAAAAGTTGCTGAAAGCAGACATTTTGATGCATTAAGTTTAACCATTAAGAGTTGAGGGTTTGTTTTTTTTCCCCATTTTTGTGGTTGAGAATATACACAGCAGAACACGCACTGATTCAACCGTCTTGCCTCCGGGTGTGTTTTAGAATCAGACTGGATCTGATCTACATCTTTTTGATTTTACGTCTTACTGAATAATTGTCACACCGTTTCGTTTGCATACTTCAGAGTTTCTGCTTAAGGGCTTTCGACTCCGTAAACAGTGAGTCTTGGAAAGCCACGGGGGGGTGGGGGGTCCACCCTGCCCTGCAGGGCCGTTAGGGGTCAGTGGTGACCTCACTTGGTGGCAGTGAGCATTGTAAGACAAGGTGGGTCAGGAAAGAAAAGGTGAACAGGGAGGAGCCCTCCTGGATCCCCAGGGCTGGGACATGCCCCCTGGGAGCCCTGGGTTCATACTCTCTGCCCCCGTGCCCGACTCTGAATACTTTCGGGCTTTAGCCCCTGGGGTCTCGGGAGCCTCAGGGTCGCAGATTCAGTCTGTCTGTCTGCCCCCCTCCCTGCCAGGACATACAGCAGCTCCTTCAGCTCCAGCAGCTGGTCCTTGTGCCGGGACACCACCTCCAGCCACCTGCTCAGTTCCTGCTGCCACAGGCCCAGCAGGGTCAGCCAGGTGAGACCCCGCCCCGCCCCACCCCAGCCGCAGGACCCCTGCAAAGTCTTGCCTTGCTTCCTCTCATCTGTGTGTCCCTCCTTTCCCCCCAGGCCTGCTACCGACGCCAAATCTATTCCAGCTACCTCAGCAGACCCAAGGGGCGCTGCTCACCTCCCAGCCCCGGGCCGGGCTGCCCACCCAGGTGAGACCGCCCACCCAGGGCAGGCGAGCTGACAGCGGACGGGGCCCAGCCCAGGGCCACCAGGGGCCCCGCCCAGTTCTGCCATGAACCTGCTATGTGACCACGGGCAAACTACACTCCCTCTCTGGGCCCACTCTCGCTCTGGGTGGTGGGGGCAGGGCCTCCACTGAGAAGCTGACAAGAGCCTTGAACTTGACCATCTGTACACACTTGGCAGGTTTCAGGGGCTTCAAGCACCTTTAGGGCTCCCTCCGGTCTGTGCGGCAACCAGAAGGTTGTCTGACTACGGTGACAGGTTCACACCTACGTGCTCAGTGCCTCAGGCAGCATTCTTGTCCCTGAATTCCAGGTCTACTAACTCCCTACCCAGAGCCTCGTGTCTGGCTTCTCTTGACAAAGCAGGCCACCAGGCAGGACTGGTAGCAGCCGCCCTGTGGGGACAAGGGTCTCTCCAGGCCACCTTTGCGAGCAGCCATCTGGCCGGCCTTGCTGGCCCCTGTCACCTGTCCAGCCCCCGGGCCTTGCTCTCTCTCAGTGTCCTGCCCGCATCGTCGATGCTGATTGTCATCATGTTTCCTGGCTTTTCTGGGTTTCAAGGATCTTTCCTACCTGGAGCAGGCGCCCTGGTGGCAGAGTGGGCCACATGTTGGGCTGCTGACCACAAGGTCAGCGGTTCGGAACCACCAGCCGCTCCTCAGGAAAAAGATGGGGCTTTCCACTCACGTAAACAGTGCCAGTCTCAGAAAGTCACGGGGCAGATCATCCCTGTCACACGAGTTGGCCATGGGCTTGGGAGGTTGCTTGGTTCCAACCCGGCTCTTCCTGTCCAGCCCTTTCAGAATTACAGATGGAAAACCTTCCGGGACTCAATCCAGAATGCTCCGAAGCCCACATTTTTTGTTTGCTTTTGTTAATCTAGATATTTGTTGGGGTATTATTTCAACATAGCTTGATAGTGTCCGTGGCTTATAATTCACAGATCACGTCATTGAACAGCTCAACCGTATTAAGAATATTAACAGTCCTCACAATCAAGTTTAGCGGCTCTTTTGGTGGTTTTTGTTTGTCCTGGGTGGTTACAAAACCCTGAACGGACGTGGGGTGTCATGGCCCCTCTTCCTCTCCCGGTGCTTTGCTGCGGAGTGGCCGCTGTGTCTGGCGGTGGCCTCTGCTGGAGCAGGTGCCACCTGATCTCTGACCCACGCCTCACGTGGCCCCCGGCCACCCCATCTTGGCGAACATTTCACCGTGTGTTCGGTGTGCGGCGTGGCACCCCGGGTTCTCACTGGACCACGTGTACACAGACCGCCCAGTGCCGCGGCCGGCGGCACCAGTCCCTCGAGGTGCGTTCCGGCTGCTCCCTGGGCAGAGCTCCGCTTTCCCTGTTGCCCCTCAGCTTCTCCTCAGGCCTGGCCGTCGCTGGTGACCTTGGTCTCAGGGGGCTGGTGTTTGGGGTGTTGTTGTTTTTGTTTTGTTTTTTTTTTTTTTTTTTTTTTTTAACATTTTATTAGGGGCTCATACAACTGTTATCGCAATCCATACACACATCAATTGTGTAAAGCGCATTTGTACATCGTTTCTCAAAACATTTTCTCTCCATCCAAACCCCCGACATTAGGTCCTCATTTTTCCCCTCCCTCCCTGGGGTGTTGTTTTAAAGGGGTCCCATACTCGGGCATCACCGTCATTAGTTGCCAATCTGTTCTTTCAATTAAAGGAGCTCTGGGGGATAGTGTGGGCCCAAGAGTTAAAGAGCGCCTCACTCAGAGACGCCTCCGGTCCCAATTGGCCCGGTAAGCCTGGACGTGTTTAATGACCTAACTTCTGAGTGCGGTCTGAGTGTACGGAGAAGATTGGTTTTCCGGTCAGCTTGGTTTTCTTGAGGCATTTTCTTTCGTGATGTCGGCGCAGTTCCCACAAGAGCCTGTTACCAGTGCTCTCCCCACTTCCTCCTTGTTGTGCCCCGTTTTGGTCACTAGCACTTCCGCCTCCTCAGCCTCATCCCTCCGGGGACAGGGCCCTGGTGACCACGTCTGGTGGGCTGTTCCAAGGGGGGCCGACCTTCGCGGGGGTCACTGTCGTGGGCTTGTCTGTGGATGGCGTGGCCGAAAGCTGAGCCAGAAGAATTGGAGTTCTGTCCTGAGAGTCTCTCCTGCCCCGTCGGGGCGTCTGCGGTGGCAGTGCCAGCTGGGCGCCATCTAGTTCTGGTCTCCGAGGGAATGAGGCCCCGGCTGCTGCTGGCTGTGAGCCCTGGAGACACGTTTCTTCTCGGAGATGTTGGTTTCTCATATGGGTGCTTTCTAAAATCCAAAAAAAAAAAGTTCTGAATTCCAAAAGACATCGGACTCCAGGATTTAGGATCCGGGGACCAGGACTCCCACAACGCGTATCACTGTACTCACGGCCCTTTGTCCTTACTTGTTTGCAGACAATTTTTTAGGGGAATAAAGTGGTCTGGGTAGAGCTATTGCCTCTCCATAAACCCCCCTATTTGCTCTCCCAGCCCCCTTTAAAAAAGACTGTTTGTGCCCACTGCTCATTTGTAACAGGAGGCTCTAAGGAACCACGCAGGGTAGGCAGACGAGCAGCACTTGTTCCCATCCTGCAGAGGGGGAAACTGAGGCCCAGTGTAGTTGGGACACTTGCCCCCAAACTTCCCCAAAAGATGGTAGCAGAGGCAGGCATGGCTTCTCTGGTGGAGAAGAGATGGACCACCGTGGCCCCAGCCCCCAGAGCCCCTCATTCCGTGTGCCCAGAGCTCAGGGTCAGCAGCCGGACAGAGGGATGCTCCTTCAGGGAGTCAGCAGGCGGTGGGGGCCCACGGGAGGTGGAAGTCAGATAGGGAATGTGGAGCGGCCTCCTGGGGGCTGGAGTCAGGGAGTCTACAAGGAGAGGCTAAGGCCACACAACGAGAGGACTGCCCAGCCCTCACCGTGCCCCCCTCCTGGTCCTCCATCCTGCACCCCGCCCCCTCCCCACCCCACTAGGCCGTGACCCACCCCACGCTGCCCGACCCGCACCTCTCGCACCCGCAGCCCCCCAAGTGCTTGGAGCCCCCGTCCCACCCGGAGGAGCCCAGTGACCTGGAGGAGCTAGAGCAGTTTGCCCGCACCTTCAAGCAGCGTCGCATCAAGCTGGGCTTCACGCAGGTCTGTGCTGGGCAGGTGCGGGGAGGCCGGGAGGGGCCGCACAGGCAGCGTGGTGCCAGAGGGCCTGGTCTTGACCTCTGCCACCTCCCCACCCCTGCCGGCCCAGGGCGATGTGGGTCTGGCCATGGGCAAGCTGTACGGCAACGACTTCAGCCAGACGACCATCTCCCGCTTCGAGGCCCTCAACTTGAGCTTCAAGAACATGTGCAAACTCAAGCCCCTCCTAGAGAAGTGGCTCAATGACGCAGGTGGGCGGGCCCTGGGCTCTCAGGGCCAGTGGACACTCGGGCCCGGCAGGTGGGCAGGCGGGCTGCGGGTTGGAGGAGGCGCCTGCCCTCTCACGCCGGCCCTCCACCCCCGTTTCCCCTCCGGGCACAGAGACCATGTCTGTGGATTCCAGCCTGCCCAGCCCCAACCAGCTGAGCAGCCCCAGCCTGGGTTTCGACGGGCTCCCCGGCCGGAGACGCAAGAAGAGGACCAGCATCGAGACAAACGTCCGCTTCGCCTTAGAGAAGAGTTTTCTAGCGGTGAGGGCCCCCTCGGCGGGGCGGCCTGGCTGCACGGGGGAGTGGGGAAGGCCGCAGAGCGGTGGGCTGACCGGCCCGGCTGCCCGCAGAACCAGAAGCCTACCTCAGAGGAGATCCTGCTGATCGCTGAGCAGCTGCACATGGAGAAGGAGGTGATCCGCGTCTGGTTCTGCAACCGGCGCCAGAAGGAGAAGCGCATCAACCCCTGCAGCGCGGCCCCCATGCTGCCCAGCCCCGGGAAGCCGGCCAGCTACAGCCCCCACCTGGTACCGAGAGCCCCCGCCCCAGGGGAGACCACGGGGGTGGGGCTGGGGAGGCTGTCCCAAGGCAGGGAGACAGCATGCAGAGACACGCATTCACAGACTCACACAGACCACAGCCACTCATCAGAGAGGGACACGGGTCCAGGGAGAGGACACCAGGAAGGGGAGCCACCTCCGGCCCGAAGCCACTCGGGGACAGGCTGAGGCACTTAGTGATGCAGTGGCCACGTCACGACAAGGAGCCCAGGGGGCACCGTGGTTAAGCACTTGGCTGCTAACCGAAACATTGATGGATCGAGCCCACCAGCCGCTCAGAGGGAGAAAGGGGAGGCTTTCTCTGTATAGAAAGAGTTACGGTCTCAGGAACCCTGTGGGTCCGGTCTCCTCCGTCCGAAGGGGTGGCTGTGAGTCAGGGGGTTGGTTTCTGCTTGATTGTTTGTTTGTTGGCCTCCTGGGACCCAGTGTGTGCACGCAGGTCCTCCGTCAACATGCAGCCCCACAGGAAAGCCTTTGGTCCCAGCGTCTGCGGAGGTGGGCGGCAGCGCCCCCTGGTGGGAGCTGGAACAGCTCGGGTGCCTGCAAACTGGGTCCCAGATCCCAGCCAGAGCACAGTCCATCTTAATGACGGGGAGGGTGCTGGCACGCAGTCCATTTATTTCTAAAATAGAGGCCAAATCATTTGGGAACCTTTGCATGGGAAGGGATGGGACCCAGAGGAGCCTGCTCTACTTCCCAGCCGACTAGGGTGGTGTGTGTGTGTGTGTGTGTGTGTGTGTGTGTGTGTGTGTGTG